TTCCACCTCGGCCTCCCAGAGTGCTAGGATTGTTGTCCTTTTATTTCTATGTGAAGTTATTCAAACATGTATGTTTTGTTAAGTAGTGGATGTTGGTGCTCCACCCAGAGCCCCTTGGATCCTTTTTTCACTTTTTGGGGGTTATTTGCCCTACAGCTTGCTATGCTGAAAAACAGAGAGCTTTAGAAGTACCTGAGAATTTATAGTCCCCAAGACGGTCCTTATCTTATTGACTGATGTGTATAAGAATAAGACCCCCTTCCCTGAGGGAGGGATTATTTTGAGGTATAAATTTCATTCCAGAGTTCCTTTGTGTGATCAGGCTGAAGCTACCCTTTGCAGGACTTTGAGAGCTCAACCTTGGTTGACTTCCTCACCTTCCCTGTCCATCTCCCACTTCCATGCTAGTTGCCTCTGGGAACATTTCCTTAATAATCACTTGCACACAAATCTTTGTCTCAGGACCTGTAGCTGGGGAACATGAACTTACAACATCTAAGGAGAAGTAGAGAATGATTATGAATTTACCTTCTAAAATTGATGTTGAGATTTGCAGTCATGACAGTTCCCCCAGCTATCATCGCAGACGCACCAACAGTATTATCAATCATAGTTGCAATGGCACCTCCATGAAGGAATCTAGTCACAATAGGAGTAGAGGACAAATGTTTGCAGAAGTTCTGAAACAGAGAGCTTCTCAAGAGAAATTATCCAAGCATCTTCACACAATTTACTTATGAAAGGTCCATTTAGTTCATGTCCAGTGTAGTGAATGTCAAATAATACCCGTGTCTCTAAGTTTATTTGGTTCATAGTGTATTTTTATTATTTTTATTTATTTAGAGACAGAGTCTTTCTCTGTCACCCAGGCTGGAGTGCAGTAGCACAATCATTGCCTGGGCTTAAATGATCCACCTGCTTCAGCCTCCCGAGTAGCTGGGACTACAAGTGTGCACCGTCATGCTCAGTTAATTTAAATTTTTTTTTTTTTTAGAGATGGAGTCTTTCTCTGTCACCCAGGCTGGAGTGCAGT